AAGTTGTGGATAAAAGTGCAACAGTGTGCAAGCATTGTGCAACACGTTTTGTTTATGCTAACAGCAACATGACCAACATGTCATGCTAACCCCGAAATCCCACATTCTCCGTCAGCGCTCCGCCCCGCTGCGCTGCAGACCTCCTGCACAAAGCAAAGCCTACAGCCTCCACTGTGGCTCCCTTGGAGATCGTAGAGGGCAGGCGCGAGATGATTAAATTCAAAGCAGAAATGATCCAGGGTTTCCGCGGATCATTAAAAATAATTACAATTCATTATTTTTTTGTTGTTGATTTTTTCATAAATTTTTATGGCATTTCGGTGTAACAATCAACATATACCAAACCGAGCCGAACCGAAAACCGTGACCACGAAACCGTGAACCGAACCGAACATTTTGTGAACCGTTCCACCCCTAATAGACACACACATCAATTTTAAAAAGGTATCGGTATGGTATCGGGATCGGCTGATACTGGACAGCCAGGTATCAGAGCCAGAAAATGACAAAGGCGCAGCACTATTTCTTACCTGTCCTGAAGAAATACCGTTATATGCCAAATGTGTTTGCTATCTACATGTAAATAGTAGAGCAGCATCTGGATCTAATTGGGACATGAATAAGAAAATATTGGTAAAATTTAGTGGGAACTTAAAAATTATTTATTTTTTTTGCATTTGCAAGAATATTCATATTCATTTTAAATTCATTTTAATACCCAACAAACTTTATGCATGGGATTTGAATCTCAAAACAATGATTATTGAATCCAAATTATTTGTATTCATACAAAAATATGTATTTTCAAAATTATTTGTTGGAATAAATGAGATGCCACGACTTGGCTTTACGGATGACCTCGTGCCGAATAAGGATGTGGTTAAATTCCCATATGTGGGTTACAAGTTGAGGTTAAGAAAGTGCAGACACTGGATGTTCATTTGCGGTTTCATCTCCTCAGATGTTTTTTGGGTTAGAGTGCAGAAACCTCTTATGTATCATGTATAAACAGGCTGCGGAAGTAGGTGGGCAGATGGCCATCAGAATGTAAAGAAATACTAGTGGAAAAGAGGGGATTCTGTGTCTTCCTCTAGCTTCTCATGGCTGATTTGTTTATACACACAGTCCTCCCACTGCCCTGAAGGATTCCCCTGGAGCACCTGGATCCTTCAACACCAATATTTCTTGTAGATAGGTCATAAAAACCCTGAGCTTTCTCTGATTTACTATCCCCTGTATATGTAAATAGGCAACACGCATAACGTTGCCTCCTAGAAACTGCATTGAGATTAAACAGATGGTTTCCTTTTGGAGACCTCAGAAAAACAGTATAACAGTCTGCAGCTGACTGATTATGAGTGAATTCCCAGGCTGGCTCCAATCTTTATTTATGTCAGAAAATCCTGCTTTTCCAGACTCAGTTTTTAAATTTTTTTAAGTACTTAAAGCATGTTTACACTATAAATGCCTGAACAATATGGAAGAAAAACAGTCTTATTGGAATCTGCCTTTTTTTTGTACTCAAAGTTATTTTAACAATGTATTTTGAACACAGAATTTTTTTAGCACCGGATTTCAAACACTGAATTTTTCTACACATTGAATGACTTACACTGAATTTTTATCTGGTGAAAATTCAGCTGCAAAAAATTTGTTTGCCAAAACTTTGCCTATAAAAAATTTGCCTGCAAATATGTTGACCTCTTGGTGAA